TTTTTTTATTGATTCATTTTTGTTTTTCTTGATACCCTGAATTATATTTTTTTTTTGATGGATTTTTTATTTATTTTTTGATCCCTTGCCCGCCATTACTAGCAACAAGAAGCTACTAGCAGTAAGGCATTGAGCTCAAAACCGGACGACATTTTCGGCCGATGAGGTCCGCTTCACCCTTCGAGCTGCTGGAGCCACCCCCGAGACTGCAGCATGGGCTCAGGCGAGATGCGGCGTGCTGTTGTGGAATTTCAACCCTCTCGTGGAAGCAGCATTTTTTAAACTTTCTATTTTCTGTTCTAAATTCATTTTTTCCATTGGAGTTTCTGGAGAATTCTAGGACATAGGTCAAGCATCTTGACTGTCAGGTGCAGTGCCGGCGGTTTGTCATGGCCCTGGAAGACGCTGGACTGGACACTGGACTCTTCACAGTTTACTTCAAGAACCGAGCCAACAAACCGACTCATCTCCTCTTTTCCATTGTAGGCTGTATTCGTCCCAACTTTTTGTAAAGTCAGACTTGTGCTTTTTGCAAAGTCAGACTTGTGTGCTGTGACTTGAGTGTGGCTTGGAGAGCATTGTGGCATAGACTCACTGAATTTTAAGCATTGGTGTACCTGGCAATGACCACGCAGTGGCCAGGTGGTGGAAGCTTTTTGTCGTCAGATCAATGACACAACAGTAGAGGCCGGAGTGAGCTGACGGGGGAGGAACAGCAGGGCCAGCTGGGCTTCCGGAACAAATGCCGGTCAGGAAAGACCCCTTTCCGCAAATCTGTTGACACATCCGGATAGGTTAACCATGCAGGTGTCACGGTGTTTGCTTTGTGCCTGTTCTTGCTGGCAGGCAGGGGTTGCTGCACTAGCCAAGCGCGCAGCAGAGCAGTTGGCACGCCAGATGCCAAGCACAGAGGATGAACAAAAATACTTGTGCTTTGATTGGTTGGGAGTGGCCTGACAATCACACTTGCCAGAGGGATCTAGAGTGAGGGTTTGCATCATGAAGTGGAGTGACAAATCGATAGTTGCTAATCCCACCCCCATTGGCAATTCCGTGATCAACCAACCATTCCCTACCATGACATGACGGATCTGATGGATGCACATTTTTGGGATTAGGGGCAGTGCACAGGATATTTTGTTTGATTCCGCATCCTGATCAGGATCTGCAAGCACCCATGCCGGGAAGCTCAACAGAACTGGCTGCCGCAGGTCTCAGTGTTCAACCCTTGCCCGTCGCGCGACATCAAAGCTCAAACCGGATGGGTTTGTTCCAAGTGTTCTAGGATTTTGGCAATCTCACTCTACATAATCAAAGACTCAAACCTGATGATTAGGGTGTTTCTTTTGATGTGGCAAGGCAAGCCTTAGACGGAAGCAAGCCAGTGGTATGCACAGATCGGTCAGTGTCATGGTGTAGACTCATTCCCGCAAGCTTTTTCATTCCACATTGCCATAATGAGCCTGACAGGCCTTATTTGCGCAATGGAAAATAGGAGCCGATGACCCTGAGAGTAGAAGCTTGTAGCAGCGCTGTGCCCGCGCGACCAGCGAAGCGGAGCAGGTGCATTAGCGTACGGAGTGAAACTGAACTCACAGAGCGATGCAAAGCTTCCCCCCAGCACCCAAAAGACATCACTCACAAAGAAGTCGACAAGTAGCCTGTGCCCCTGGTCGACAAAAAGCCATGACCTGGGAATTTCATTCGCTTCCAGGCCGAGCTTTGCCAATTCGGAGGAGGAGGAGATCTCTGACGATGGCGCCCCCAGTGCAATGCCCATACAGCGGAACATCCAGAAGAATTCCCTTCCCGTGCCCCCTATGGCGGTGCCCTCCGTGGAAGGCTTTGCGCGATGGAACCTCCAGAGATGCCCAGAGGTCTTGGAGGCGGAGAGGGTTGTGATTTCTGCCGAAGCCTCTCTCTCACGGCAAATGGCCAGGTGTACACAGGTGTTTTTTGAGTGAGGTGAGGTTTGTCTATTTTATTCCAGGGTGACAAGTTGTAGATTGTAGACTTGTAGATGGCAGGGAATGAAGTTTGTTCATGTTTGTTCTACATTTGGGAGGGGCCCCAGATGTTGTGCCAAGAGCCGTTGCCGTGCAACAGGCCATTCGCGCAAAATTCCAGCACCAAAGACGAACCTTGGCTGGCAGGCAACGTCCGCAACTCCATGTTTCTTTGCGTGCTAAAAGTTCAAGTCACACACTGTACACTGTACATATAGTGTAAAGAAATATGTTTTACGCAGATAATATTTAGGCCCGTAGGCCCCATTTATATTTAGATGGGTAGCTTATGTCAGTGGCGAGTGTTGTGCTACGTACGGTATGTTGTTAGAAGGCCCAGAACTATTCAAGATGTAATGCGAAGCACTTCCCAAAGTGGTCTAAGGCCCTGTACGAGTTTTTTCCATGTACACTGGCTGGGGCACTGCCGAGATGGTAGCACATGCTGTGAAAGGGGAGCTTGAGCGCGTCGGTGTCAAGCTTCAGCTTCTTGGCCGGGATGCCTTTCCAGATCTTCGACCTTTCTTTTACTTTTTCCTTCTTCCACCCAACCCGTCCTTTGTGAGGATAGAGGTGGCCTGGATTTGCGAGTCCAATCGGGACAAGTGCAACTATTTGGCTCATGCCTTCAAGCTTCTTGCCTGCATTCACCGGAATATCTGAACGAAGACTACAAGGGAGGAGTGTTCTTGGAATTCCTTGGAGAAAGATCTCATTTGGTGAAAGATCTAATGCAAACTCACTTGGCGCATACTTGCTTCTCTGAAGAATGCTTCAGCATCAGGTTTGCTGTGACATGGAAGGCAACAGAGACCCGCAGAATGATAGCTGCCCACTATGGGGATCGAAATCGTTTTAGAATTCGGGAGATTAGGTATTATCTGTCTCTTCTTCCTTTTCTTTTCCTTGTGACGTCCATGTTTTTTGTGTTAGTTACTCATGTGTTTTTTTTCTTTCTCTCTCTCTCTCTCTTTGTAGTTTCAGCTGTGTTTTTTTCGGGGTTCATTTTTCTCCTTTTGTACGCAGGGTTAGGGTGTTTTTTTGTGTTACTAATGTTTTGCTTTGTTGGTTTTCTTACAATACATATGTAAAAAGAAAAAACGTTTTGGTAGTGTTTGTGTGTGTGTCAACCCTGTCCCTAAGGGTTTCTTTAGAGACTTTTAAGCAGCAGGGGGGCAATGAACACTTTGGAAGGTATTGCCCAACGAAATCCTGTCCATCGTGTTGTGAAATGACTTTGGGACGCCAAAGTCACGTACCTGCAATAATGTTTAACCAATCCGTTCTAAAGTGCTAACGCGTGATGTTCAAACAATTCGGTTCTCCTGACCCTTCGCCCTGCGGTTTTGTGAGCCAAGGTCTAGTCTAGTCTAGTGTAATCAGCAATTAGCTTCATTAAAGTTCGAAGCTGATAGAGCTCTTGCGAGCATTGATCTAAGTGTGTTTCGCAACAGGGTCCCGCTGCGGTCTGTTGTGTGACCCCTGCGGGGCGCCTTGAGCATAGACCCTTAAGGGGGATTCTTCACCGGCTTTTCTTCTTTGCTCGGCATTTCACTGGCTATGCGTTCTTGCCCGGGATCACTGATAGTATGCTGCAGAGCCCACTGGTACTCCCCAAAGAATGCCATGCCATGCGGCTAGTGTAATCATTGCTTTGTTGCACCTGATTTTCCAAGGAACCTAAATGCATAATTAGGCTTGAGTAATTCATTGCACGCCTCTGAGTAATTCATGCATTGGTTCCCTTTTCACCCGCTTTCTCTCTTTTCGTCGTTTTTCTTTCTAGGTTTTCGTTCGTTGCTAGAGGCTGTTTAGGTGTAACAGGCTTTTTGGACCCGGCTTTATGACCAAGTGTCTGTCACATGACATACACACCACGCATACACACCCGCACCCCCTTCTTTGTTGAGTTATCTTTTGTTTGTTAGGTTGTTCTTCAGGCTTGCTGGGTTGCTCTTGAGGCTCGTGTAGCCGACCCACCACCTCAGACACACACACACACACACTACCGCTAACCAACCCTACCCCTCAGTTTTCGTTTCTTTCTCTCCTGCCCTTTGTTTTCTTTCTAGGCCTGACTCTCCGCTGGAGGCTTTTTAGGTGTGTAACAGGTTATTGTTAGGGGTTCTCAAGAGTGTCCGCCTTGCTGCGGGACAGTGTGTCCGCCTTCCGTCCGGCTTGTCTCCCTTTGTCTCCCTTCGTGTTGGTCACTGTGTCCGCCTTGTCTCCCTTCTGTCTCCCTTTGTCTCCCGTCTTGTCTCCCTTCTTGTTGGTCACTGTGTCCCGTTTTGTCTCCCTTCTGTCTCCCTTCTTGTCTCCCTTCTGTTTCCTTTTGTCTTCCTTCTTGTCTCCCTTCTTGTTGGTCATTGTGTCCAGATTGTCTCCCTTGTGTCTCCCTTCTTGTTGGTCACTGTGTTCGTTTTGTCTCCCTTCTTGTTCCCTTGCGGTCTTCCTTCTTGTTGGTCATTGTGTCCGCCTTGTCTTCCTTCTTGTCTCCCTTTGTCCAGGTCTTGTCTCCCTTCTTGTTGGTCACTGTGTCCGTCTTGTCTCGTCTTGTCTCCCTTCTGTTTCTTTTGTCTCCCTTCTTGTTTTGCTTTTCTTTCCTTTTGTTTCCCTTCTTGTGGATCATTGTGTCCACATTGTCTTCCTTCTTGGCTTTTTCCCCAAACAGTTTACTGTCAGGGGTTCTCAACTGGTGGCGTCCGCCCTTTTCCACTGTTTCTTTCATCAGTTTCCCAGGTCTGTCACTGCTAGTGTCCGCCTTTTTCCGCTGGCCATGC